TCTCTCCCTTCCTCTCTGTACAAAATCAATAAAATATATATTTTTTAAAAATAATCAAATTGTATACTTTACATCTAAGCAATTTATTGTGTCAATTTTTCCTCAATAAAGCTGTTTAAAAGAAATACTAACTAGAGATAACCAAATACAATGTGGGAACCTTTTTTTTTCTTAAAGAGCCTTTTTAGAGCAACTGGAGAAATATGCTTACAGACTACATAACAGATATTCTTTTCATGTCAGCTTTTATTTTTTTTAATCATTTTTCATTTTCCAATTACAGTTAACATACATTATTATATTAGTTGCAGGTGTACACCCCAATGATTAGACATTACATAACTTACTAAGTGATCCTCATAATAAATCTCGTACCCATCTGACACCATACATAATTATTTGAATACTAGAATTCATGCATGGGTGGGATCTGGGCGGCCCACCCTGAAGGGGGCGCATCTGCACCGGCTCAGCTGGGGAAAGGGGTCATGGGGGAGAGGGGCCACAGGTCAGCCGGCCAAACCCACCCCGGGAGGGGACCAATCAGAGTCAGGGCCAGCTAGTGGGAGGTGCCACAGGCAGTTGGCTGACGGTCTCGCCCCAATGAGGGGGAGGAGAGGGGGGGTCAGGGACTGGGCTGGCTGGGTAAGGAGGAGTGGGGGAGGGGGGAGGTTGGCTGGTCGGCCCTGCCCTTGATTGGAGTTGGGGGGGAGAGCCAACCAGGAGTGGAGCCAGTTGGGGGACGGGGCCAAGGGAGGTTGGCTGGCCGGCCCTGCCCCCGATCTGGCTAGGGCCAGCCACAGTGCACATCATAGCAACCAATCGTTCTGGTCATTCCAGTGTTTCAGTCACTTGGCTTTTATATATACAGACTAGACGCTCAGTGCACAAAATCGTGCGGGTAGGGTCCCTAGACCTAGCCTGTGATCAGGGCCATCTTCTGCCTGTTCGCCAGTCCCAAGGCCGCCTCTACCGCCAGGGTGGATAGGTCTCAGGCACACCCCGCAGCAGCAGTGGTGGCCATGTGAGGCGGCACATTCCATCAGCAGCTGGCCCAGCACACAGGCATGGAGTTGAAGTCACCGATACCCAATTTCCCACCGGCCTGAGCTCCTGAGCAGCTGGGAATGAGCAGATGGCCTGGCAGCCAGCCTGGTCCTACCACCACCCACGCTGGCTGCCTCATTCCACCATCGCTGAGCCACTGGAGCCTGTGGACTGGGGACACACACACACACACACACACACACACACACACACACACACACGACACGACCAAGAGGTCAGCTGTTCCGCCCACTCACCAGTCCCCAGTCCCACCCCACCATTACCCACCTGCTTCCCCATGGTTCCCCATTCACCTGTGGGCAGTAATAGGGGTGGGGGAAGTGAAGCAGGGGAGGGACCGAGAAATGGTCAATGCACCTCAGGCGACTAGTCAAGAGGTCGTACCAGTCATTTCGCTTATGGTCCCTGGCCTTTTATTAATAGGATCACTGACAATACTCCCAATGCTATATTTTACATCCCCCTGACTATTCTGTAACTCCCAATTCCTTCTTAATCCCTTACCCTTTTTCACCACCACTCCAACACCCCTCCTATCTGACAACCATCAAAATGTTCTCTGTATATATGAGTCTGTTTCTGTTCTGCTTGTTCATTTATTTTGTTTTTCAGAATCAATTGTTGACTTTTTGGTCTAGAAAAGGGGTAGGCAAACTAGTATGCTGGACAAGTGAATCCTTATGTTTGGTGTGCAAATTAAGGATAGCTTTTATATTTTTAAATGGTTAAAAAATAAATCATTTGTGTCATGAAATTATATGAAATTCAAATTTAAGTATTAAGGTTTTACTGGAACACTGCCACACTTATTCAAATACATATTGTCTATGGCTGTTTTCACATTACAATGACAAAAATGAGTTGCAACTGAGCTCATAAGGCCCAGAAAACCAAAAGTACTTACTATCTGGCCCTTTCCAGCAAAAATTTGCCAGACCTTGGTCTAGAATTTAGAATACAGCAACTATTTAGAAACTAAAAAGTTAATAAATAGACGCTTTTATAATATACTAAGTTTATAGAGGTAGAGGGAAAGATCATTAATGAGAGATTCATTACTCAGCTGCCTCCTGCACACTCCCTACTGGGAATCAAGTCCCCAACCAGGTCATGTGCCCTGACCAGGAGTCAAACCTGTGACCTCCTGGTTTATAGGTCAATGCTCAACAACTGAGCAACACCACCAGGCCAAATAGTTTTCTTAAACCTTGGGTATCTTGACTGATTTTCAGATAGTTTCACAAAGGTAATCATCTTAATTTATAAGCATTAAAAATTCTGTTTAAAAGCAATTCCTTCCCATACTCTCATCCTCATATAGTTAATTTCCATTTACCAGAAAGTTACAAATAAAATCACTCTAAACATTACTATTTTTAAGCTCTAAAACCATAATTGGCGTGTAATAATAAAAAGAATGTGAAACAACGTCCTTTCTTAGAATATATATTTACTTAGACTAATAAAAATTAAAGAGCTAAAGTCAATGGTAAAGTTAAATGCCAAAAGGAAATAGAAAGTTGCATCCAATGTCACTGATCCTCCAAGCTAACTCATTATCTTTTGGGGGGAGAAGGGGAAGAAAGGTTGATCTAAAGAAGACTAGTTGAAATAAAGTAAAATGCAAAGTGATCAAATACAATTATATAATGAGGAAGAAATAAAAGTGGAAAAAAAGAACAGAGTATGCTTAAACTACTATACATACAACTAGGTAAGAGGAGAGAAACAAGAGAGAGAAGATGTAATAAAATAAATCATAAAAGACAGAACAAACATAGTGGAGGGCACTTGTGGGAAGTATAAAGCAAAGGAAAAAGTTTGATTATAATACGATGGCAGAATAAAGTTGAGTTTAAAATCTTTTATATTTTACTCTTTTCCTCTCCTTCCTTTCCCAAACGGTCTGTTTAATTTTGAGAAAGCATTGTAGGGAATATGTTTCAAGATTTCATTATGTGTCTGTGAAGAACCTGCTCCAAACATAAATAATATTTGGAATGTTAAAGAACAAGAAGAAGAAAGAAAAAAAAACAGAAATTGCAGTTGGAGAACTTACATACTCTGGACAGAAAAGGTAACTCTACAAAAAGATTAAATTACTAGAGCATCGGCCAGTGGACCAAAGGGACTTGGATTCAATTCCAGTCAAGGGCACGTACACTTGGTTATAGGCTCCTTCCCCGCCCAGGCTCTGGTCAGGGCTCATGCAGGAGGCAACCAATCGATGTGTTTCTCTCAAATCAATATTTCTCTCTGTCTTCCCCTCTCCTCTTCCACTCTCTCTAAAATCAATGAAAAAATATCCTCAGGTGAGGATTAAAATTTAAGAAGTATATATTAAATTACTAAAAAAATTACAAAGTAACATATAAATTAAATAGGTAATAGTTCTGTTGGCAGAAATAAAGAAAACAAAGGAATTCATAATCCAATTTGTGAAGGACTATAGCTTAGAGACTGAGGAGAGTTTGAAATAAAAGAGAGGAAGTTGGAAAGTGAATCAAAGATGAGTAAAAATGTGGGCAAATAAGCCGTGGTTGGTATGGCTCAGTTGGTGGGAGCATTGTCCCATGCACTGAAGGGTCATGGGTTTGCTTCCTGTACATGTACGGGGGGGCACTCAATTGATGTTTCTCTCTCAAATCAATGTTTCTCACTTACTCTCCCTTCCTCATTCTCTGAAATCAGTTAAAAAACATATCCTTGACCCTAGCCAGTTTAGCTCAGTGTATAAAGCATTGGCCTGCAGACTGAAGGACTGCGGATTCATTCCAGTCAAGGGTGTATGCCTGGGATGCAGGCTCAATTCCCACCAGGGGGCATGCAGGAGGCATCCAATCAATGATCCTCTCTCATCATTGATCTATCTCTCTCTTCCTCTCTGAAATCTATTTTTTTTAAACCATATCCTTGGGTGAGGATTTTAAAAAATGTGGGTAAGTAGCATTAATAAATTTGAGATTTAGCAAGCAGCAAAAATCATATATGTATCCCATCTAGAATAATTATGCTATTTTCTGTAGAAATAGAGGATCGGGAAAAAAAGCAAGAATAGCTGATGGAACAAAAAGTCAAAATGGTTAGGTAAGGCTTTCCAGTACATTACTAGGGATAAGAATATTATTATTGACAATAAATTCCTAGCTATAAAAAGGAAAATGAAACTAAAAGGAAGCTGCCAAATTTTAAAAACAGGCAAAAATTGAGAGACTAGTCTAATTACAGTCAAAAATAAAATATGATTACTCAAGAGGCATATAATCAGAGGAATGAATTTCTGTGGTATTTCATTAAAGTGTCCTCATGATTAGATGGCTATGGTTTCATAACAGTGGTAGAAATTAAAAGATGAAGTTTAAATATATTTTCTACTCTTAAAACACAGAAAAAGAACTTTCCCAACAAATCACCATCATTTAAAAGACCATAGCAGAGGACAAAATTCATAATGATAGATCTTGAATCTTACCAAACTGAAGTCATTATTTCAAGATTCCAAAAAGAAAAATTCAAAGGACTTAGAAAATTTTAAAAATAGATAAAATATTTCTTAATCACTACAAATATCCACACTGAAATTTACATAAGAAGATAATGATGCTTCAATAGGATATAGCCACAAAAGCATTATAACATTAAATGACTCACTGATATTAGAATATAGGATTTCCAATTCAATCACAATTGGTTAACTTACAGTTCAAATAGAAGTGATTGCATCATATCAACAAAGTAGGACTGGCATGGATTGGTAAGGAAATTGCATCACGGTACTATAGATCTGTTATTCATTAAATTGAAACTTTGGTTGTAAACTATTTTCTAATCTGATTAATAAGCTAAGAAAAAACAACAAGCTTCACTTGTCGCCACATAGCTTTATTTATGTCTTTTTGCAAAAGGCTACTTGATAAAAGTTAAGTACTTACTAATATCATCTTCATGATAAATGACAGAGTGAAAAGGTAGAGTTCGGTCTTTAATATATCTCTCTGCTGGCTCAACATAAAATGTGCCACCATGAGTCTGGATGAATCCTTCAAATCTTCCATCAATAACAGACCCATGGCTAAAACTTCCTTCTTCACCTATTAATGAAAGCAACAAACTCTTGAAAATTTAATTTGCCTAGAATGTTAAATTCATTTTTCTTTAAAAAGCTATTCTTATACATATATATATTTTTTTTAAACCTAATATAAATTCACTGGGAAAATTAATTTTAACATAAAATATATCAAGCTGAATTTGAGATGTGAATAGCAACTAGTATTTATTAAAATGTACACGATTATTAGTAACAACAATGAAATAAATCACTTTCCTAGCACCTAGCAATCAATGAGTAATTGCTAAATTAACTTCAATAAATCCACGGACAAAATAAACACTTTCAAAATAAAGATATTAAAGTTCTTATGAAATTTGGCTCTAATTACTATAAGAAAAAAGCTCTTTTCCAATCTGATATATTCTGCATGAACCATGTGGCTTCCTTACCACCTTTAGCTTTTATAAATATATTTCTTAAATAAGATAGTGTCAAATACTTCAAAAGCAAACTAAATAGAAGTATACCAATAATTTCTTTTATGATACCAGACAAAGATTTATAATTTTGTCCATCGATTATACTTCCCTAGTGAAAGAACAAAACAGAAAAAAAAGGTACTTTTGGTTCATAATATAGCCACAAAGAAAAGAAGAGCACTAACCATCAAATATTTGAAGAAATGGAAGATAGGAGGAGAGGGCTTTAAAAGTTGAATTTACTGCCGAAACTGGTTTGGCTCAATGGATAGAGCGTCGGCTTGGGGACTAAAGGGCCCCGGGTTCGATTCTGGTCAAGGGCATGTACCTTGGCTGCGGGCATATCCCCAGTAGAGGGTGTGCAAGAGGCAGCTTATCGATGACTCTCTCTCATCGATGTTTCTAACTATCTTTCTCCCTTCCTCTCTGTACAAAATCAATAAAATATATTAAATATATATATATATAAATAAAAGTTGAATTTACTTAAAATTTTCTCATTAAAACAAAAATCAGGCTTTCTACAATTTCTAAGTTATAAATTAAAATTAACTAGTTAACCTCTAAAATAATCATGAACTGTAGGTAAGAGCCCAAGACATTGGTATTTTAAATGTCATGGTTTTTATCTACAGGCTGTCATACTTTTCTTGACCATTGCCTAGCAAAAAAAAAAAAAAGCATCGAGACTATAAGTTACTTGTCCAGAAAGATAAATAATAATAAAAATAATAAAAAACTATAGTCTAACATTAAAAACTTAGCCCTGGCCTGTATGGGTCAGTTGTTTTGAGCATCATGCTTTGTGCCAAAAGGTTGCCGGTTCAATACCAAGTTGGGGCACATGCCCAACTAGTGGGCTCAATCCCTAATAGAGGGTGTGCAGGGGGCAGCCTATCAATGATTACCATCATTGATGTTTCTAACTCTCCCTCTCTTTTTCTTTCTGAAAAAAATATTTTAAAAAAATAGTAAGAATACAAAAATATTTTTGTTAAATAGTTTAGGTTTACTATAAAAGTGAGAAACTTTAAGCATAGAAATGCCTCATGAATCTGGCATAATGAAAAAATAAACACTTTTTTAAAGCACTTAATTTTTCATGTTGTAATTTTGATTGGAAATCTAATATATAAAAATAAAATTTAACTTTCAGTTAACTTTGTCTTAAAATCTGAGGATTACCTTGAGATTTATTAATGCACAGAATTATAACACAATGATATTTTGCCCTTCTCTAATACCTCCAGAAGATTAACTTACTTTTTAAGCTTTTTTATGAACTTCTGTAATTATTGTGTTCTTCCTCAAACTACTAAGCTGTCAAATATTACTTTTTATTGGGTTAAATGTGTGTTAAAAAAATAAAATTAAAACAATGTGTGTGTTCCCCACCCCTCCAATACCTTTATAATCTGGTGTATGTAGTAAGAGATTTGCTAGAATTGTAAACAAAAGCAAAAACATAGTAAAGAGGAAGGCCTTAAGAGGGATTTCCTATCAATTACTGTCACATTATTTTGGCCTGTTAGATGATCTTTACAGTTTCCTTTTAGATATTTCCTCTTGTTATAAAACATAAGCAAAGTTACTGCTTAATTTCTTGTTCCGATGATCAAGAAATTATAGAAGTCATTAAATTTTTTTTAAAATCTAAGTTTGGAGGTATTGAGTCAAAAATTCAAAACTTTCAGAAGCCAGACACTGCATAATTCAACATTAAACAAACATGCAAAGATAGATACAAGATTACTTCATCTTCAAAGACAATTATACCCTTTATGATATATACTGAAACCTCCTTGGGATTTATCCCATCTTTTCTGAAATATCTGCCTCTGATTTAATGTATTTCCTATGTAGAAAAAAATTAAATAAAGGGTTCTTAAAGACTCAACTTACCATAAATATGTCCAGTGTAAATATGAGAGGTATCATAATCCAGTACTTGATTTGATGTTTCTACTTTAAATTCATCACTAAAAAGTGAAGTGTCCCTCTTCATTCGTAGGTTGAAATGTCTGCAAAATGAGATGGGAAAAGGAAAATTAAATTTAAAGGATTCAAATATTAAACAATTATTTCTTTAAATAGAAAAATTTGCAAAATGTGGACTGTTTCACTTCAACTTTTCTATTTGAGAAATATTTTGACCAAACTTTTCTTATAAAAATTCTGCTCTAAATTCAATCTAGTAGCTGTGATACAACTCTAGCTATAGAAAATTAAATAGTGGCCGGGACCGGTTTGGCTCAGTGGATAGAGCGTCGGCCAGCGGACTGAAAGGTCCTGGGTTCGATTCTGGGCAAGGGCATGTACCTTGGTCGCAGGCATGTCCCCATTGAGGGGTGTGCAAGAGGCAGCTGATCGATTATTCTCTCTCATCAATGTTTCTAACTCTCTATCCCTCTCTCTTCCTCTCTGTGAAAAATCAATAAAAAATATATTTATTAAAAAAAAGAAAAGAAAATTAAATAGTAACTAAGAATATATCCTATACAATAAAAGCATAACATGCTAATTAGGCCAGATAGCAAACGACCTTGCAGATGTCCTTCCGGACAAAGCCAGGGCTGCAAAGGAAACCTGAGTCCCAGGTCCCTGCCAGCCCAGGTCCCAGATGCCTGCCAGAGGGAAGCCCTGGTCCCCAGGTCCCAGGTGCCAGAGAAAAGCTGGTGCCGGCAGCTGGGGGAAATTTCATGCATCGGGCCTCTAGTTTAAAAGTAAATGCCAATAGGCTGATTCCTACATGGTAAAACAAAAATCATTCTAAGAACATCTACTTAGCTTGGAGATAATAAACACACTATTACCACTACCTATCTTCCCTCTATAGTATTTCTGAAGCCTTGACATTTTCCCTTTCTTTTCACAATTCAAATTAAGATAATACATGAAAAAATGGCATTTATATTAGATACTTAACATCTGAGAGATACATGCTCTTTCATTTGAAAAAACAAATACACACAACATTTCAAATTTTTATTTTTCCCTGGGGGGTCCTAATTCTTATAATTATATTTGGATCTTCCTCAATTCAATTTGGGAAGCATAAAAGACCATGATATTAATTGAAATCATACTCATTCTAGCTCTATAAAAGAGAGGGAAAGACCAAAATGTTGAAGTGAAATTAAATAAAGAAACTAGAGTTTGGAAGCAAACTTGAAATCAAATCTTAAGACTAGTAGTCTAAGACTCCTGTCTGTGAAATAAAGATAATATATTCTATTTTATGGAATTGTTTTAAGGATTAGAGATTATAATATATGTAAAATCATTAACACACTTTATGGCATATAGGAGATGTACAATAAATGATACCAAATGAGCTATGATTACTAAACTTTTACTTAGTATATCAAGTATCTGTTATAATTTCTATAAAAGTCTAGACATAACACAATTTCTATCAATTACCCTAAGTTTTCAATTAGCCAACCTCCAAATGTTAACAGGACTAGAACTCTCATATTATACATCGCTGTTGAAAGTACCAAGTGGTACAATTACATTGGAAAGCTGGAAAATTTTTAATAAAGTTAATACACAAAAATCCTATGACTAAAAATCCCACTCTAAAAGAAATGAAAACTTATGTCCCAACAAATGGCCAAAGCAGCTTTATTTAAAACAATTCCAAACTGGAAATAACCTAAATGTCTATCATCAAGTAAAGGGATAAGAAGAATAAAGTATGAAGAAACTTATTGCTACAATGGAAATTTCTGTATGCTGATTTAAATGGTTACAAAAGTATATAGATTTGTCAAACAACACATTTAAAATGAGTATATTTTATTTTATGTAAATTACTAGAGACCTGGTGCGTGAAATTTGTGCACTCGAGGGGAAAGGGCTCTCTCAGCCCGGCCTGTGCCATCTCACAGTCTGGGAGCTCCAAAGAGCAGGCCAAAGCGATCAGTTGGACATCCTTAGCACTGCCACAGAGGTGGGAGGGGCTCCTGCCACTGCTACCACTGCACTAGCCAGCCATGAACCTGGCTCAGGGCTTCTGGCTGAGCAGCGCTCCCCCTGTGGGAGCACACTGACAACCAGGGGGCAGCTCCTGCATTGAGCATCTGCCCCTTGGTGGTCAGTGCACATCATAACGACCAGTCTTTCCACCGTTCCATCAATTTGCATATTAGCTTTTTATTATATAAAGAACAAGAGGTCCAGAGCAGGAAATTTGTGCTCAGGTAGAATCCCTGGGCATGGCCTGCGATCAGAGCCCAGTTCCCTGCTGCTGGCGGCCAGCCCCATCCCCTACCACCAACATCAGTCACCTTCTGTGTGTGGGGTGAACAGTGGGGTAACTGGTGGAGTGATCAGGGCCCCATTCGATCGCATCCACCTTGGGCTGGCGCCACTCAGGTATGCCACCACCCACCCCTGGTTCCCTGTTCCCCATTAGGCAATCAGAGCTTGCCGGCTGGGGAAAAAGCCCAAGACATCAGCCGTTCCTGCCACTAGCTGGCCCCTCTGTGTATGGGGCAGCCAGCAGGGCAATCAGGGACCTGCTCACTTGCACTCGCCTAGGCCTAACACTGGCTGCATCCTCTGTCACACACCCCCAGTTTTCCATTCTCCAATGGGCAATCGAAGCCTGACAGCCAGGAGGAGGGACTGAGAGGTTGACCAGTAGGCCCCAATAAAACGATCAAGGCCTGTAGGCTGAGGGAAGCTACTGCATTGAGCATCTGCCCCTGATGGTCAGTGCACATCATAGTGACAGGTCATTCCACCATCTGGTCAATTTGAATATTATGCTTTTATATCTATCCTATATAATAAAAGTGTAGTATGCAAATTGTCCCCTCAACCAGAATTCCTCCAGGAGTTCAAATTAGGGTGGGAAGACAGGAGAAGGGAAAGAGGCCTCAGCTGGCAGTGGCAGCATATGACCGGAAGAAGGGAGAGAGGCCCTGGATAGCAACAGAGGCAGGCAGCCAGGGGAAGGGAAGGAGACAACCGGCTGGCAATGGCGGCATGTGACCGGAGAAAGGTAGGGAAGTCCTGGCCAGTAGCAGTGGCAGGTGGCCAAGGGAAGGGAGGGAGGCTCTGACCCGCAGCAGCCTCTGGGGGAACAGAGGGAGAACCCGACTGGCAGCCAGCAGCCACCAGCCACTTGGGACCTACCAGTATACAAATTTCATGCACTGTGCCTCTAATATATATAATATAATATGCCAAGTGTCCCCTCAGGGGTTCGACTGACCAGAGTTCAATCACTTGCTATGACATGCACTGACCACTAGAGGGGATGGAAAGCAATGAAGGAAGGCCCCAGCCAGCAGCCAGGGAAAGCAGACCCTAGCCAGTGGCCAGCAGCCACTTGGTACCCTACCTGTGCACAAATTTCGTGCACTGGGACTCTAGCATATAGACACTTCAATAAAGTTAAATTAAAAAAAAAAAAACACTAATTTTTCAACTGAATTTATGTCAACAGGACATATTGATTGAGTTCAGAAAGTGTGTTCCTTTTTCAAGAATGTCTATTTTATATTTTCCCTAATTTCCCTAATCAATCTTGGCATCCTTTTATTCTGAGGATGTACTCACATATTACTTGCCCAAAACTCTTACAAAAAAATTTCTAGGGCTTCCCAGGAGCTGTGGCTAAGAAAGCATCCTCAAAGTGTTAATGTTATAATTTATTTGAGCAAGTAATGAACAAATTCAAACACATCTAAAGGGAAACTTCACAAATTTAAAAATAGCCTATCCAGAATAAATAAGAATCTTGCCTGAATTCTTGTGGTACATTCTATATTTCATAAAATTACTTCTGCCTACTATAGAAAATTCTTGAATCTACAACTGCGGCACCCACCGAACAGCTGTGAGCCCAAAAGCACTGTTTCCCAAGTGGCACAAGCACACGGATTCAGAGAAGCTCTACACTTCACTAAGGAAAGGAGAGAGAATACATAACAAGACTCCCAGAGAAGATGAAACATGGGGAGACAAAGAAACAGCCTGCATATAAAAGCAAAGTAGGCATTGCCAGAAAAGGAAGTAAACTAAATGGAGGCAAGCAACCTGTCAGAAAAAGAACTCAGAGAAAAGGACATAAGGTGGCTGAAAAGAATGGATGAAAAATTCAACGATATGTGTAAGAACCAAGAAAAAATGAAGAATCAAGAAAAAATGAAAAATGACATTGCTGCTGTAAAGAATTCAATAGGAAGCATCAAGAGTACACTAGAAGCACAGGACTGCATTAGTTAGCTAGAAAACAAGGTAGGAAAAAATAACCAAATGGAGCAGCTTCTAGAAAAAAAATTTAAAAGCAGGAGGAGAGCCTAAGGGAACTTTGGGACAATGTGAAACAAAATAACATCCACATAATAAAGTTGGCAGAAAGTGAGGTAACTGAGCAAGGAATAGGAAGCCCAATTGAAGAAATAATGACAGAAAACTTCCCTGATATAGGAAAGAAGAAACCCAAACAAATCCAAGAAGCTCACAGAGTCCCAAGCAAAATAAACCCCAAAAGACCGACACCAAGGCATAATATAATTAAATTGGCCAACACCAATGACAAAGTAAGAATATTAAAAGCCAGAGAGAGAAAGTAAGTTACCTACAAAGGATCCCTCATCAGACTAGCAACTGATTTCTCAACAGAAACACATCAGGCCATAAGAGAATGGAATGAAATATACAAAGTCATGCAAAGGAAGGTAGTGAATCCAATACTGTACCCAGCAAGGCTATCAATCAAAATTGAAGGTGAAATCAGGAGCTTCATAGACAAAAAAGGACTAAAGGAGTTTTATTACCACCAAACCAACAATGCAAGAAATGATAAAAGGTCTGCTGAAAAAAAAAAAAGAAAAGAAAAGAAATAGGAAGCAAAGAAGGAACACAGACATAAAGAATAAAAATGGCCGAAGCCAGTTTGGCTCAGAGGTAGAGCGTCAGTCTGCGGACTGAGAGGTCCCAGGTTCGATTCCGGTCAAGGACATATACATTGGCTGCGGGCACATCCCCGGTAGGGGGTGTGCAA